AATGTGGATGACATCATTTTCAGGTCAACCTCGAAGAAACTGGTCAATCACTTTGTTGAACTAATGTCGTCTGTATTTGAGATGAGTCTGGTAGGTGAACTTTCTTACTTTTTGGGTCTTTAAGTGAAGCAAGGTAAAGATGGTATATTTTTGCATCAAAGTAAATATGCTAGAAACCTTGTTAAAAAATTTGGTCTTGAAAATGCAAAATCTCCTCAGACTCCTATGGGCACTCACATAAAAGTGTCTAAGGATGATGAAGGTACATCTGCAGATCAAACTCTTTACCGTAGTATGATTGGTAGTCTTTTATATCTTACTGCCAGCAAACCTGACATTTGTTTTAGTGTTGGACTTTGTGCAAGGTACCAGGCTGCTCCTAAAGAATCTCATTTGAAGGCTGTCAAGCACATCATCAAATATGTTGGAGGTACATCTGACTATGGGTTGTTTTATTCTGCTGATACGAACCTACATCTTACAGGTTACTGAGATGCAGATTGGGCCGGAAATCTTGATGATAGAAAAAGTACTTCCGGTAGCTGTTTCTATATAGGATCAAATCTGGTTTCATCGTTCTATAAGAAACAAAACTGCATCTCCCTATCTACAGCCGAAGCTGAGTATATTGCCGCAGGGAGTTGTTGCTCTCAATTAGTCTGGATAAAGCAAATCCTCTCTGAGTATGGTATGAAGGTACATTCGGCTCAGCTTTTCTGTGATAACACTAGTGCAATAAATATCTCAAAAAATCCCGTCCAACATTCTCGGACCAAACATATTGACATTCGGTATCATTTTATTCGTAATTTGGTGGAAGATGGAACTATTGTGTTGGATCATGTACCTACAGATGATCAACTTGCTGATATTTCACAAAAGCACTTGATTCAAAACACTTTCTGTCAGTAAGGAAATCCTTAGGAATGTGTGCTATATAATATTTATGCATGTTGTGTCCTTTGCATTTATATGTATTGTGTCTCATACTAGAGCTATGTTGCACTTAGGCATAATAGTATGTAGGTTCATCCCAAGCATCTTCCATGAATAATTTGTCGTTGAATAAATAAATTGATGTTTTAGGGACTCTAACTGGTCAATTTGGTGAAGCTAGTCATAATGACAATCTAAAACTACATGTAAGAGCTGCTCTTGTGAAAGTAAGCATCGGGCAACTATCACATGAGGTGTTTCCATGATCACCTGTGAAACGAGTTACGTGCTTAAAAATAACCGAGGAGTGATAGCTACATATAGTCATTCTTGTTGAAATCTAGTATACTGGTGCCATCCTACAAATCGTCTCAGCATTTTGTTTAAAATTTTACTTTTTGCGGGATGATTCACACTTCAAGTAATGGGCTTGACATTGGCGTATAGTTAATGTTAGTAAGTGAAATGGTGTGAAAGTTCATAGAAAGAAGTAAGTTCATCATTAGTATTGGGGCTGAATTGCAAATGAAAATTTTGTTCTTTGCTAAGAGAAAATGATGAATGAACTTATATTAATTCTGTGGTATATAAAAGTTGGAGGTATAAGGGCTGAGTTGGTTTCTTGAAAACACTTATCATCCTCTTAGGGTCGAGCTCTCAAAAAATTGATTCGAAAAGATCTTGAGAATATTCAATGAAAATATTTTTCGACATTGCATGATTTGGAAGATCTCGGTTATTGCGTGGGCATTAAAATTTATTTAGGCATGAAAATTTCCGTGTGACTAATTGTATTGTGAATTTGTGTCAAAATTATTTTTGGAACTAAATCTGACCTTATTTTTGTCTGAAACTTCATTACACTTATATGGTAAGTCGTGGTCTATTGTTGGTTAAGTTATATTTGGAGGGAACAGTTTTTGGTATTAATTGGTGCACATGTTTGAATTTCAAATTGAAAAAGCTGAACCGTATAAACCTATCTCTTCCTTCTCGATAACTGCGATTTGGTTTCCCTGTATTTATAATATCATCTCTACTCTCTCTCATATCAACCATCTGATTTTCGCATCTCTCCAAAAATAACTAACCTTCCATATATGTGTTTATTACCATCTTCTTTTTTGAACCATGACGAAAAGCAAAACAGGCAAAGTGAAACCGAAGAAGGATGGATGTTCCAAAGCCTTCGCGGCGTTCAACTCGTCAAAGCCAAAGTACAGAAACTCCACTAAATATCACTCCTTCTGACATGGCTACTGTAAAAGCTCAACCCTCTCAACCCGACGAAACTAGAGTTTCCCCAAGTCCCAAAAAGTCCTCCACAACTAACGTCGTAACTCCCGACGTTGCGGTTAGTAGTGAGTAAGGTGGCAAAGGGTCACCCTCCGCGCTAAATCTCCTAAAAAGCGAAAGAAGGTCGCCGCCGTTACTGTCGGAAAACCGAAAAAGGCAAAGAAGACCATCGTCATGCCTGAAGCTATTGCTGCTGTGGATTCTCCTTCCAAGTCTAGTGGAGAATCATCACCTGATAGTGTTGATGATGGCAACTCTACGGACAAGGAAATCGATAAGTTCACCGCTGAACCAGAGAAATCCGTTAACCCTCCTACTCCTGACAAGGAACCTTCTCCTCCTGTGGATGAGAAAGTTGTTGAAGAAACCAGAGATGATGGCCCTAATAGTCCTCTTACTATTGGTAATGCCCTTTCCCGTCAATTTTACTCTTCTCTGTCTGAGTCTCGTTATTCGAATGTATGCTCTCAAATGAAATTCCGTCCGGAATGAACCATTGTTGCTGATCATTTTGAGAAACTTGGGTTGATTGAGTTGCTGAAGAAAGCAGGTCTTGAAGCTTCTGTGTTGAATGTGGGAAAATATTGTCCCAAATTGATTGTTGAATTTTACTCTAATTTGTCTACCTCTATGTCTGTTCCAAAGTCCTTGAAATTCGATAAGGTGTTTATTAGAAATAGCATCATTGTCTTCTCTCCGTCTGTGAAAAATTCAGTCCTGGGTTTGCCGGAAAATTCATCCTTGTTCATGACGCCTCTGAATGATAATCTAGATGAAGTTGCAGCTACATTGACAGGGGGAAAATTGAATAAGTGGTTGAACCCTGGTCTGTTTGTGAAAATCTTGACTCCTCAAGCCAATGCCCTTCAGAAGATTGGATCCTTATACTAGACTCCTACATCTCACAAATAGTTTGTGACGCCCATTCAAGCAAGGGTTATCTATCGCGTTCTATGTGGGAATCAGTTTGACTTGCGGTCCGTCATTTTGACTATGTAGTCTCTTTTGCTGATGTATCGAAACCCCACAAATTGCTGCCTTTTCCCTCCACTATCTATGTAGTTCTAATGAAGGTAGGGATCAAGATGGATCTGCGTGTGGGTGATGAACTTTCTCCATCTCTAAAACCCCTTTCACTGGCTGGGGTTAAGACTGTTCCCCGTATTCCCTCTATTGTCAAAGCCTTTGATGTACCTTCACAGCTCCGTGGTTTCCTTAACCAACAAGTGGTTGTTCTCACTGGTTTCGAGAAGAAGTTGGCCGATCAGCGTCGTTGCTACAAAGAGGTTCTTGGTGCCTTGTCTGTACGTGCCCTCTCGTCATCTAAATCGAAAAAGGGGGAGAAGAAGAAGGCTGTGAGCAAGGGGGAGAAATCGAAGAAAGGAAACAAGGCAAAGGGGAAGGAGGTTGCTACGAAAGAAAAAGTGGATGATGTTGTTGCTACTGCCAAAGGAAAGGAGAAGGTTGAATCTGAAGAGGAGGAAGAACTTGAAGACGATCGGGAAGAAACTGATGAGGCTGAGAAAGAAGCCGCTGGTTCAAAGGAGGAAACTGAAACTGGCTCTGATGAAGGTTCTGATGATGAGGACACTGAAGACGGATCCACTTAGATCCGTGGATATGCATTTGGCTTGCTTATGTTTTGTTAGAACTAAAAACTATTTGTTGTGTCTTGTGATGTCATGAACTATTTTTATTTCTGTTTTTTGATGATTGCTTAGGAATGGTTACTATGAACTGCTTGCTAATGATTTTTAATTGATCAGGTTCTTATGTTGTTCAAACGAACAACCACTTTTGCATGTTCTTTAGAATAGATTGTGTATGTATGGAGGATTGTTGCTTATGTAGCTTTTTGAGAAAGGTTTTCGATTTATCTACCAAAGGGGGATATTGTAACTTCTGAGGATTGGCAGTAAATCGACGAACCTTCTTCTGTTATCAGGATCAGCCATCAAAGAGATAATTATGGGAAGTCTGTCTAAATATACTTAGATTAAGTTTTGTTCATTTCGTTTATTGGTTTATTCTCATGAACGTTTTATTATGGCATGTCTAATCAAGGGGTCGGGAATCACATTCCATGTGGGCAAGATTTGATCGTGCAAATCCGAACTTTCCATAAGTTGACATGACTTGGCAGCGACGAACTTACCATATGAGGATGAGGATAAAAGGACGACGAGATCAGATTGAGGAGTACTTTTTACATTCTTAATTTTCTTAAATGAGTGGACGATTGATCGTGAGTGTTTGATTTTTTATTAATTTGAGTGATTTTGTATGTGAGGAAGATTACTGTAAAAAGAGATAAAATACAGAGTGTTCGGAGGTTCATTCTGATATAGTTTGAGGGAGTCAAACGTGAAAAAAACCACAAGGGATTTGTGGTCAGATAAGTAGTTATGTAATTCATTGTTCAAGTGGAGTGTTGAGGGAGTCTATACTTTAAACCCTTGAAGAATGAGTGAGTTGATTGCATTATTGAAAGAGATCCGAAGGGAGAGTGGGACGCTCTCCTGAAGGTTCAATGTTTATATTGCTTCGGCAATTCATTTGAATCTTCGTTTTATTCTATTTAGCTTAATCGTGTGTAACTCTGAATACTTGGGATACAAGTATCAAACTCCAGATTTGACGTAGATTTCTTTTTTNGCCAAATACCAGAAGGAGGTTCTCTACCACCAAGGTCGCAATAAAGCCATGTTTTTTTTCCAATATTCCTTCCAATGTCCCAAAATAAAAGTAAAGATTCTCTTACATTCAACCTTCTTTCTCCCTTGTCTTTTGACTCGACCTCTTAGCTCGAGGCTCTTCTTTTCAAAACCAAAACCCTGCTCGCAACCTGAGTATGACCTCCGCATCATCTATTGGAATGCGAATAAGGTTGCTTTCAATTCAATTCTTGATGATGATAAAATTTTATTCCATTGCGGTCTCCTCGCTCGACCTTAGTCTTCATTAAGTGAGAAGGAGATCCATGAGCTCGAATTAAGGATGAGGAGGAGTTTGGTAAGCTTAAATTTGAGACTTCATGTGATTTTATTTATTGTGAGTTTGCCTAACTATTAACCTCGTATTTTTGCAGAGCGCATGATGGATAGCAAAATGTCCTCTTCTCTCCTTACTTAAAAAAAGTTGCTCCTACTCAGGAGGCCCCTCATAAAGGTAAGGAGAAGAGGTCAAGAAGACTGTCTCCTTGATCAAATCCAAGGGGAACACCACCCCCCATCCAAGATGGCCAGCAAACAGGTCGATAAAACTGGTGAAATGAGCTCCGACCGAGCATTTGCGAAAAATGCTCGAGCACCTCCCTGGCCTACGCAAGCACCAAAAAGATGCAAGCACCAAAAAGGTTTGCATCGAGGGAGAATATGAGGAGGTTATCCCCCACCCCCTCCTTGGTCACCACTGCCACGGAGAAGGACATTACCTGGTACTTTATGCAGGTCCTAACTGTTGAGAATACTTACCGATTTGGCCCCGACCTCAAGACCCAGTGTGACTACGCTATCCGGAGCTTAGTACAGGTAAACTTCACAACTTCGACCTGGTGTATATCCTCGCATGGTTCTAGCTCAATTAATTTTGCTTGTGTTCAGGCTCTCTCCTCCATCATCCCCTTGCTCGACCAATCTCTGAGTGGCTCTAGTTGCTCCCTTCTAGTAGTGGAGAAGACGAATCAGTTTTTGTATGATGCGAACAAGAAGTTTAGCAAATTCAAGCATGACCTCACCCAGCAGCTCGCCAAAGATGGTCGTCGCCACAAAGAGGAGCTCATGGAGAAAGACTTGGCACTAGAGCGTGAGCTCGCAAAATGTGAGGAGGACATGAAAAATGCGACGGTGGTTGGCACAGGGTGGGCTTGGTAACTCCTCTTCTAGATGAACATCGCACATAAATTCCTCACAGCGTACCGCGAGACGACTATCACAAGTCTCCAGCCTTTTTAGACAAATGTTCAGCAGTCGTTGTTGAGTTTTACAAGATTGGGCTGAATGAGGCCGAGAAGCAGGCCCAAGCTCTGGGCTTTAGCTAGACTCTCGAACGCTAGGCTATTTGGGATGCTCTCCTCGACTATTCTGCCACCTATGAGGGGGATCACAACCTCCCCCTGGACCATGTCTGGTCGACGCAAACCCTTAAGTAATCCCTTGCATGTGCTATGTTGAAGGGCAAGTTTGACCTTCCCAAACCGAGCTCTGAGTCTGCTGCTCGACCTCCTTCGACTCAGGGTGAAACCTCAGGAGACCAAGCAAACCTTGTCGCACCAAGAGCTGATGGCCCGGGCCCCATCCTCGAGAAGCCTGCTTCTTCGACCGCTCTTGAACTGACCCTGACTCCTATCTCCGAGCAGTCTGCCAACCTTGAAGAAACTCATAATCCGCCAAAGTAGATTGTTGTAAATTATTGTATTTTGATATTGAACTTTGCGCTGTAATTTGATCGACCATGTAACCTTTTGATTTATGATAGTGTAATATTTTCTTTGTCTTATAATTTGTCGTCTTTTCTTTGAAGTTGTGTATATCGACCTACCACTGAGGTCTCTAAAAATCAATGCCTCTTTTATAACTCTGGTTTCTCAAAAATATATTCAACACTTTAAAACGCCAGTCGACCTTCTATTATGTTTAACAATACTCGTTTGTCACTTAAAAACTTTGCTTAGACAATTGTCACCATAATCGACCTCCCACTGAGGTCTTTGAAATTAACCCAACGAAGCAAAATTTTGAGTAAAAAGATCCTTAATTATTTGACCTGCCTTTGAGGTCTCTCATAATAACACTATACTAGAAATTTTTTTCACAACTTTGACAGTAGAGTCACCTTGGATAATTGACCTTCCACTGAGGTCACCCCATTTGGTATTTAAAATGTGGTCATAGCTCTTGAAAGTTTTCAAAAAGCATTATCTTCTCTCTGAAACTCAATCCACCTGCAGGGTTTAACATAATAATTTTTCATGAGCTCACTTTGGTGACATCACCAAACTAACACACATGGTGACCGTAAATATTCTAACAACACATCATACATGCAACACTATTACCCAAAACACAAAGACTATTGACATAGCATAATGGATCTCGCTTTTGGTGAATCGAAGTAATAGTTACTGCATGCACATGCCTATTTGTATATTATGGGTTAAGAGAACAAAGTAATTAATCGAGGCCTAGTTCGTTTATGACGATCAGTATAAAATGAACTACTCCTCTCCAGGATCCTGTTCAATACATAAAATGTATTAGTGCAACTAATCAGTCAAGATCAATTGTACGATTGACACTACAACCGTTCTGATGGTTTGTTCATTTCCATCTAGGTTGTGAACCAATCATTCTTGTTTTGCAAGTGATTAATAAAATGATCTTTTGTGCACCCGTGATGAACCATTTTATCTAAGTGCAAAATAACACAACATAGAACTTGTTTAATCAAACACGATTCTCATTCAACAAAATGTGTGTAAATAATATCCAAAGCAGAGCTATCAGTAAATACACCAACAATAGCAATATTGGAAAAATGCCAAGGCTTGCACACAACTCGCGCGGTCTCACTCGTACCTCAACTGCTAAGACAAAGGTAATCGTCGGGAAGTAGAACAACTGCCCTTATCTTGTGTTGTCTCCGTATCGGAAGCCAACCCAGTAGGAAACTTCTCCCCCAATAGTCACCCAAACACGCGGGTTAAATAAGCATCATGTACCATGTGTCCCTTAGAAGCTTCTAGACATGTGTCGCCCGTCTGATCCCACTCGGCCATGCAATCTCGAAGGAATGATCCCGCATAGGCCACGTGTGACTTAGCAACCAACTAGTCCACGTGCAACCCACATGCATATTCAAAATCCTACTCGTTTCCACCAACAGCTTAGATGCCGCGCCAACACTTGCATGCACCCATCGAGATGCACCATCTAGAACCGGTAGAGCACCGAATCAACCTAGGTCCATCTTTCAACAAACGAATGCGTAAAATACTGCATGCCTCACGTCTTTACTGACAACTGACCCAACATACGTGCAAAGATGTCGTACACCCTCGCACCATAGCCCACATGTCTCTGCATGGCCATGCACAATCTAACAGAGACTCGACTGATACCCATGCTCAGTGCAATGACACACTAACTCGGCCCTGCAACTTAACATCATTGCCAAGCTAGCCCGATACCTTTACCTCATTGATGCAGTACTCTTCCCCTTATCCAACACTACACATACAAGTGCCCAGTCTCTCGGCTTATAATTCGAATACACATCAATTCTCGAGCCCTCGAATTTAAGTAAGAATATTCTTGAATAATCCGAACTACTTTGTATCACAGTCTATACTCCTATATTTTTTTTGGAAAGACGAAGAAAGAAATTCGATTTTCAATCAGCCTGCTTAAGCCCTGACAAGATTCTTTTCCTCTTCCTCCTCCTTATTTCCTACTCCTCCTCGTCCAAATGGCTTGGACTTGGATAGGTTGAAAAAAGACATACAACCTTGGCAAGAACGGCGTGGGGAATGCGCCAAGGTCCGACTCAACTTAGGTATGTAACACAAGAGTGTTTGGTCTAGGGGCAAGAGTGAGATGAGAGGTTATTTAAGGGTGCAAGATGAATGGTGGAAATTTATCCCTAAATCCAATGGTCCATAGTCGACCTTGTCACTTAGGTGTGAGGGTCAGGCTCAGACAGGACATTAGCCGGGGCTTCATTGGGCTTGAGATATGGGCATAATTCCTAATAAACTGTTCTTAATGGGTACATCACCTAGCAATCAAAACAATATGCATCTCACGTTAAAAATTTGTCTCTCTAAAAGTTTCCCTCTTTCTAAATATCGCATCCAGAAGAAAACCGGATCTCGAAAATTGCGGCCCCTCTTCTTCTTGACCGATCGATCGCAACACCCTCTTTTTCGACCATGGCTGGGCTGGGGTCAGAGGTTCTCTTTCTCACCCCACATGCTACCATGGATTAAAGGCTGGACGGTGGCGGCTCTCGCAGCGCTGCCTTTCTCTCAGCCATGGTTGGTGCTAGTGACGGATGCTTCCGTATGTGAGGCATGAGACCTATTTGGCTTCTAGTCTATCCTCCGTCTATGGGCTTTTGGGAACGCAGATCTATGCTTGAGTCTCGTCTCCCCCCCTCCCAACCCCCAGATCTGCATAGCCTTTCGGGCTTGATCAGAGTTTAAAAGTATGAGAGCTTTAGATCCGCCGGTCTCATTTCGTCTTTGGATCTGGGGACTGACGTATATGCTTGGGTTTGGTGGCAACTACAGGAGGTCCTCTAAAAGTAGAGGAGGTGTTGTATTTTTTGTTGTAGGTGTATTGTTTTATTTTTTTTTATTTTTTGGATTTTTTAAAAGTCCTGACTGTGTCCAGCTCTAGTCTCAAATATATGGAGACTAAAAAACTACAAAGTGCTTTTTGGTGTTTTTGTAGTATGTTGTGTTGTAGCAAAATATATTTTTACCGAGTACCGAATCGAAAGATTCGTTCCCCGAGTCGATCTCTCAAGGAAGGCGGTTCGGAATGTAGGAATGGTGCTAATAACACATAAGAAAAAAATAAATCCTAAACACTCTAATCAAGATAGTGGTTTTTAATTATCAACTACGAAAGAGAATTCAAACAATGCAAAATAGAACTAAAAAGCAAAGACTAAGATCAAATAATGATAAGAAGCTAAGGAGTTGGGGATGATGATTTTCAAAGCAATGCAAATATTATGCTAAGATCATTTGGTTGGATGATTCGAACAACCTAACGTCTAAAGATTAATTCTCAATAACTCTTCATAACAAAAGCGTATCATAGACGGTAAATCACGCAAATCACACAACACATAGACAATA